CAGGTTGGAGGGTTCCCCTCCCGAGTCCGATTCCCCATCCTCCTCTTCCTCATCCTCATCCTCATCCTCCTCGCCCCGCTCCGGGGAGATGGCTTTGTACCAGAGCTCCACCTTCTGCTGCAGGCCCCACATGTGCTGCAGGATGTCGTCGAGGTTCTCGTAGGTCACCTCCCCGTCCTCCTTGCAGAAATCCTCGCTGCTGCCAGTCTCTGGCACGGTGTCGTACACGCTGACCCGGCTGCCCAGGGAGCTGCAGGAGCCGCGGCGCCGGCGGCAGGGGAAGCCCCGTGGGGAGGACGAGCCCCCCGCGCTGCTGCTGCTGCCTCCTCCTCCTCCTCCCTCCAGCCCCGTCCCTGCATTCCCCGCTTTCCAGTGGGCCAGGGAGCTGCCGCCCAAGGGACACAAGCTCTCGATGGAGAGGGCTTTGGGGAAGGTGCCCGGCTTGTGGTCGCGGGGGATGTAGACGCGGCGGTCCCCCCGGCAGGCTCCGGCAGCCCCAGCCCCCCCCAGCTCCTCCGGGCAGGCGGCCCCGCGTTTGGGCTCGGAGCTCCCCTTGCTCCCACCCGAGCCCTGCAGGCGGTGAGTCCTGTGCGATACCGAGAAGAAGTGTTTTTTGCCACGGAAAGAGGCAGATATCCCTCTTTTAGGGGAGCTGGCCTTGGCGGCCGCCACGTCCATCTTCAGGGACCCCCATGCTGGGGTGGCTGCTGTGCTGCCCTGCGGGGCCACCTTCTCTTCCAGGTCGGCTTTCTCCTTGTCCTTCCTCCGCAGGGACTCGATTCTCTTCAGGAAGCTGCGAGACCGTCGCTTCTTCAGCTTCTCCTTGGAGCCCTGGCCACGGCCTGGGGGCTGCCCTGGCAGGGAGTGCTGGCTCAGGCTGCGGCTGGAGGTGGCGATGGCACAGGGGGGGGACAGGGGGCTGGGAGGGACAGTCCCCGTGCCCGGAGTGCCGCCCGCGCTGCCCGTGCTGCCGCTGCTGTGCAGGGACGCGGCCTCCGGGTTGGTGCTGAGGTCCGTGAGGATGCTCTCACGGCTGGACACCGGCCTCATGCTGCAGTCCAGCACCTCAGAGCCCTGGGAGAGGATGTCGACGGACCCCACCCGGGACCACCTCTTGCTGTCCCTCTGGAAAGTCCACCGGTCACTGATGGCACACAGGTCTTCCTCCTCAGAGTCTTCATTCTGAACGCGGTTGAGAACAGGGGACAATCAACCAGTATCATGGAGGGTCAGTGTGTTCCCCTGCCCCACTCTCCTGGGATGAACAGCCCAGCAAAGGGCACAGCCCAGCAAAGGGCACAGTCCCTTAGACCCACTCAGCTCCCCTTTGGCAACAGAGGGCTCCAGGAGCCATCGGGCACCATTTGGCTATGCCCGAGGGCCATACTGTGCTGGGCAAGGGAAGGTGCTGCTGCCAGGCTGCCTCCAGATGGCTACTGGGCAGTCAAGACATCCCTACAGAGCCTCCTTACAAACCCCAGACACACAGGGGCCAAAACAAGGACAGTCAGAATGAGCAGGGACACCCCCAGTAACGGGGTTCCACTGACAGGGCCTCAGGGAGGTGCAGGGGCACAGGGCAAACACAGGCACCCACCAGGCACCTCTGGGCTGTGTCCATCCTGGGAGACAGGGGCAGCCTGGGAGGATGCCTGTATTATGACCAAACATGGGGTTGCTGCCCACCATCCCCCCAGCCCCCTCCTGCCCTTCAGCACCAAGGACATACCTGTTTACGCTGAAAGTGAACTTCCAGCTTCATGGAGGCACACGTGTTCAGGGTCATCAGCCTCCTGCAAGAAACCAGGAGAGGTTCTTCCCTGGTTTTGGCCCCCACGGCCACCACAGCACTTGTTTTTTTCCAATTTATTTTTCCCCCTGTTTCTGCTTTAAAGCCCCTGTTGTTCACCATCACCTGTCACCCAGCAGCTGTGGCTCCAGGGATCAGAGGAGCACGTGGAGCTCGGCTCAGCTCCAAGGCTGCTCCCATGGGAGCCTGGCACCCCGAGCTGCACCTGCAGAGCTCTGAGAACACCCCACACCCCTGCTGGCACCCCAAACCTCCACCAGCACCCCACCTCCCTGCCACCCACCCAGGCGCCCCATCACACAGACCTTTGGCTTGGCAACCAAGGGGTGACATGGCTCAAGTGGCACAAGCCCTCGGTTGGGGCCAGCAGGGATTTTGCAGGTGCAGCACTTGACCCCTGGGCACAGGCACCAGGACATCCCAGCAGGGCATAAATGCTCCTGCCCACTCCAGCACCCCATGCTTGCTCTCCCATCCAAGGACACCCGTGTCCCCAGGACCCCTGTCAGGGGCAGGGATGGAGCCCAGTCCTTCATGTCTGCCCAACCTACATTGGCTGTTCCTTTTTTCTCTACACAAGGGAATGAATCTCTGGTTAATTCACTTTAATTAGCACCTTCATGAATGCTACCACAAGCACTTTTGTTCCAGCTTGCAAGCGCCACATCTGCACAGCCAGAAAACAAACATTTCACCAAAAATTCAACTACTGTCCCTCCTGCAATGCCACTGAAACCCCCCAAAGACCCCTGCCCACAGGCAAGGTCCTACAGCACATCTTGTGACAGGGTTAAACGCATGAGATCTGGCAGAGGGAGCAAGATGGGAGCACTCGTGTGCTAAGGGGCAAGGGAACATATCCAGGAGGTTCATTTTCTTGGAAGAGCTGCACTTCCCAGGGCTCTTTCAGACCTTTCTGCTGGGCAGATGCTGCAGGAGATCACCTTAGGGACCCCAGAGACAGCCTGCAGAGTCTGGGGACATGTGTGGCCCACCCAGCCACATTGGTCCCACAAAGAGGATGATCTGCTCCACACTGTTAGAGTAAAACAATCTCAGAAGCTCCTGTGGCCAGCTGGGCAATGACAAAAGGATGTAAAAGCTCAGACAGGGAGGGATGGTCAGAGACCTGTCATCACCTCCCACCCAGCTGGGACCAGAGCTCCGGGCACCTGGGAAGCAGTTCATGGGATCCCCTATCCCCTCCTACCTGGCACTGTGGCTTCTCCGTTGGGAAAACAAGCACCAGACCTTTTTCCCAGCCCTCTTTGCCCTGCTGGCAGCAGCACATGGGAGGGACAGCCAGGGGCAGGGCTCTGTTCTCAGCGTGGAGTCAGCGCGGGAGTGACCCAAAAGCCAAGGCAGGGCTGAGTGGGACACAGAGCCCAGATGGACAGACAGACGCTGGGGCAGGAGGGGGTCCCTGCTCTGGGGTGTTAGCTCCTGCTCATGCTGACACATTCCCCCTTCCACAGGCACTGCCACCCCACAGCAACACCCCCAGCAGCTCCCAGAGCTATTTTCAGCCTGCTTGCTGCAAGGAGGAGCGTGTGCTGGTGGAAAATGTCCAGGCAGGGCTGCGTTGCCAGGCACTGGGATGACAAACGTCACACGAAGCCAGAGAGCACTTGTGAGAGCTGAAATCCTCGGGGAGAGCAGCCAAAATCCTCAGGGTCAGGAGGGACACACCAGCACAGGCACCAAAACCACACAAACCCACTGCTCCTGCAGCCCTGCAGCTCCTAACGACCCGCACAAATGATTAGCAGTGTGTGATGCCCACAGAGCCCCTCACACTGCCCCAGTGCTCAGCAAATCCCTGGCTGTGGGCTCCCTCCCCCTCGCAGGTGGCACACACCTGATGGCCGAGTCCAACCCCATCCACAGACACCTCCTCATCCACAGCCACTTTGACCTGAATCTGCCTGATGCCAACAACCCAGCCAGACCCCAGCACTCTGGTGCAGAGACACAGTTTCCAAACTCCATTTCATTCTCAGAGAAGTTATGAGGCAACCTTGGAAAATAAAGCTAGCTAAAATGCACAGGGGGGCAGGGGACACAGCTCCATGCCCTGGGACCACAGACAGCAAGGGGCCACCAGGGCAGGAGGCAGTGGAAGGGGAGAGTGTGGACTGCAGAACTGTGTCTCTCTCCACACTTCTGCTCAGTTTGACAGCTCCACTCTGACCAATTTATTTTTAATTAACCTCTACAGGCTGGAGTTACCCAAGCTTGAAATTAAAACACAGCCTGAAAAGTCAGGCAAAGAGAAGAATTATTCCTGGAAAATGTTTTCATTCTCCAGGAGCATCCTCGTGCTGCCAGCAAGTGGGGAAGGGGTCCAAGGGACTGTTACCTGCACAGGGATTTGAGGGAGTCCTTGTCCAGGAAGCTGTGGTCCTTCTTCACAGCACCAATGTCGAGAGGGAACAATGAGTCTGGGGAGGAAAGCAAGAGGAAGATCAGAAGCTGTTTCTGAACCACCCACTCTACTGGGCACAAGGGATGGCAGGGAGCATGGGAGGAGGGAGATGCTCCAAGGAGCAAGAGAAGAGATGTCAAGGATTAAGAGCTGGGAGAGCAATGGAAAAGGCACGGGAGTCTCCTGGGCCACAAGTACCAGTCAGTAGAAGCTGGGGCATCACGTTGCCACTGGGAGCTGCCACCCATGACAGCCATGGCTGCAGGAGGGAACCTATGGAGAAGGACAGCCCCACTGAGCCAGCTGGGAGGAAGAAGACTTTAATCCTTGCTCTGGAGAGTCAAAGCCATGGGAAAGGTTCCTGCTGGGCTGGGGTGCTGGGCTGGCCACTGCACTGGGAGGGGTGAGCTGGTTCCAGAACACACACCAGCCCTGCAGCACTTTTCCCCACCCATACAGGTATCTCCTGAGCACAGCTGGAGTCCAAGAAACCCTCAGCACCTCATGGGGGTTTTTGAAGAGTGGCCACCTCCCTAACACTGCCAAGAGCCATCCTGGTGCCCCATAAGGACATTACACATGCATGGCTTGCTCATCAATGATGCCCTCCTCCCACTTATCCCACTGGGCAAGAAAGCCTCTTAGCTCCCCTGGGAGAGCCAGGAGCTGCTAAGGGGTCTCCCAGGGGAAGAAAGCCATACTGGTATGGTTGTACAATAGATCTAGCATCTCCTCAATCCCCCCCACGCTTCAAGGGCCATGGGCCAGGCATCCACAGGCTTGCTGGCCTCGGGGCAGGGGCTGCAGGACCAACCAAAGGTGGTACCTGCCCAGCATCTTTAGGCAGGGCTCATTCTAGGTCAGGTAGGTGAGAGTGGTGCCTGAGGGCCTCCATCCAGTTCCCTGCTCATCTCCATGTACTCAGGGACAGCTCTGCTGGCACCAGCTATGTAGGACTTGCACCACTAACCACAAGCATCTAAGCCCAGCTGTTAATGAAGCTGTTGAGTGCAGTGAGCACGGGGGTGCTGAGCCCTGCCAGCTGGGGAGAAAAACAGAATGAAACACTTGGAGGATGTGGAAAATTTTGCTCAGATGGGGTAGAAAAAAGGGTCGGTTTATTCATAGAGTCCAGCAGCCGCTCCTGCTGCCCCGGGCTGTGAGCAGCACTGGGGCCAGCACCTGGGCTGGGTGTCACTAGGGCCAGCACCTGGGCTGGATGTCACCTGCAGGAACCCGGACGGTGCCTGCATGTGCCTGCGCAAGGAGCAGCCCCTAAAATAGACACCAGAGGCAACGAGGCAGCCTGTAAAGCCATCACCAGGGGGCAAGAGTGTGGCTCCCGCACGTGTGGTGGGGGTGGGGGGGGTGGAAGGCCCTGGCCAAACAATAGCCCCCCCTGAAGCCCGCCGGAGACCCAGCTTCCCGCTATTGTCCCAGCCCTCCGGGGCTGCAGCCACCACTCCTTGGCCCCTCTGCCCCCCCAGCAGGGACCAGCAGCCCAGCTTAAGGGTCTTAAGCAAACCCAGATAAGCCAGAGGCAAGACCCATCACCAGAGTCACCCTGCAAATCCCCCACGGGTTGCAGGGCACGAGGTGAGAGAGGGTCTGTCAGGGGGTCTGTAGCCTGGGAGCCTCAGGGCACGGTGACCTGCTCTGCTCTGGACACTGTGCCCCGGGCACGGCTGGCTGGGTGAAGGTGCAGACCCTGCTGCCAAAGGGCACTTAGGGGCAGGACATGCCAGCGGGGAGGCAGGAGGACACACTCACACTCCAAGCTCCCTACGCTGGCTGCCCCTGCGTTCCCACCCTCTGCAAACACTCCCTGAAGCCCTGAAGAGCTGACACGGCTCTTCCCAGCCCAAGCAGCCGCCCCTGGGCTCCTGGCAGCCCTGCCTGAAGGGGAAAAGTTCAGGAATGCAGGCTCTCCAGGCCACTGCCAAGCCTGAAGACTTATTTAACACATGATCGTATAATTAGTAAACGATCCTCCCTATCTTCTCCTCGCCCTGCAGTCCCCTCGGGGGGTTTGGTCAAGACACAGGGAGCAGGGAGGGGATGAAGAGGAGGATGCTGCTCTCACCTTCATAGAGCTGCGCATACTGAGGGAATCCCGCT